AGGAGAAATGGAGAGGTTTCCAAGCTGAGCCATGCTGGCTCAGGAATTCTGGGAGTTGAAGTCCACGAGTCATAAAAGAGCCAAGGTTGCCTACCCCTGGTGATGGGAGTCAGGAGGGGACGCCTCACCTGGTGGCGACTTCCATCTTCACCGATGCATTGGGAGCAGATGTCTTCGTGAACACAGGTGCCATCCAGGATGACCTGTCCCGGTGGGCAGAAACAGCCCTCGGTGGCATAGTCCGTGCAGATTTGCATGTCGGTCCCGTTCTCACAGTGTTTTGTGCACCCTTTCTGGCAGGGCTGGTAGATCAGAGAGGCCGGGCACGGCATGGCTGCAGAGGTCAAACACACAAAGAAAGTCACACCAAGTCCCTTGGAGAAATAAGCAGACCGCCCTGGCTGACTGTAAATCAGTCAGAAAGGGATCAAGGTAAAATTGTGCTAAAAATAAACAATCTCTAATCTACCTCGGATGCTTGAACGAGGTTGGGAGGAAGGAGAAGAAGGGAACAAAATATCTAATTTGGCTAAGTACAATTCTTGCCAACAGTAAGAAATGCCAAGAATGTCATTTCGCATTTTGATCTTGGGGCTCTGCTGAGCAAATTTGAAATTGAAGTGCAAAAGAGGGAGTGTTTAAAGGAATAGAATAGAATAGAATAGAATAGAATAGAATAGAATAGAATAGAATAGAATAGAATAGAATAGAATAGATTGAGTGGAGTAGAGTAGAATAATGAAGAATAGAATAGAATAGAAATATAGAATAGAATAGAATAGAATAGAATAGAAATATAGAATAGAATAGAATAGAATAGAATAGAATAGAATAGAAATATAGAATAGAATAGAATAGAATAGAATAGAATAGAATAGAATAGAAATATAGAATAGAATAGAATAGAATAGAATAGAATAGAATAGAATAGAATAGAATAGAATAGAAGGAGTGGAGTAGAGTAGAGTAGAGTAGAATAGAATAGAATAGAATAGAATAGAATAGAATAGAATAGAATAGAATAGAATAGAATAGAATAGAATAGAAATATAGAATAGAATAGAAATATAGAATAGAATAGAAATATAGAATGGAATAGAATGCTATTCTATTCTATTCTATTTTATTCTAGATCACTAAAGCAGGAGAAACTAACTCTCAGCTGGAGCCTTCCATGACACAATGCTGGCTAAAGAATGTGTAATAACGCAGCGAACACACAATTTTTCATGTGTTGGGCTTTTTAAACCCATTTGCAAATGGATGTGGGAGCCTTCCAAATGAAGGTGAAAGTGGAAAAAATAACCCATTGGGAGGGGGAAAAAAGATGCATTGGTTCCCCAACATCCAGAATTATTTAGGCTGGTTTGGTTTTAAAAGCCAAAGAGAACTCCTCCAAGAAACTGGATACAAATTCAGGTTTGGTTTGATTTTTTTTTCCATTTAGCCTTGACATAAATTGTTTTTAAGCACCAATAGAAGGAAATATTTCACATCGCTTTAAATGCCGGCGCTATTTTTATTAGCTAATTAGAGTGTGAATAATGGCTGGAAGGAAAAGGCCTAAATTTGATAGAGCGTAAGGGCTGGTGTTGGCAGATAGAACGGAATAGAGCTGGAAGGGACCGTGGAGGTCTTCTAGTCCAGCCCCCTGCTCAAGCAGGAGAAAAAGAGCTGCTTTCTTATTTAACTTGCGATGGGCCTGTAAGGAAATTAAAGGTAGTGCAAAAAAACAACAACAAACAAACAGAGGAACGAAAAAGGAACGAAAATCTCACCGCAGAAATCGGGCGTTCTCCAGTCCACACAGACCCCGTGGACTTTGCAAAGATGGGCGTAGGAGGCTACAATCTCACACACTTCCTCCCCAAAGCAATTGTTTTCTTCGCACGTTGCATAGAAGGTGTTGGGGGGGATGATCTGATGGCACTCATAAAAGAGATTGGAAAGCAGGATGCTGCATCGGGCAGTTGCCCGCTCAACGCACACCTCAGCCTTTCTCTCTTTGCAAATCCGTCCTGGTTGCTGAATGGTCCAGTCCTGGATGAAGCCACTGATGTCCTGAGTGATGGAGTCATTCTTCAAGAGCAGGTCGTTCCTGCTGTTTTGGTCACAAACCCCTAAAGGGAAGAGGCGGGAAAGGGATTAAGGAATCGCCCAGGTCCTTAGTACTTGAAAAGTGTGTTCTGCTTACAGGCACATAGAATAAACCCACCCAGAATGTTTGCTAAGCTACCCAACCTGTTTAGACTCTTCCCTGCACTGCTATGGATGTCTCTAAACAACAACAACAAAAACAACAACAACAACAACAACAATAATAATAATAATAATAATAATAATAATAAAGTTGGAAGGGAAGAAGAAGAAGAAGAAGAAGAAGAAGAAGAAGAAGAAGAAGAAGAAGAAGAAGAAGAAGAAGAAGAAGAAGAAGAAGAAGAAGAAGAAGAAGAAGAAGAAGAAGAAGAAGAAGAAGAAGAAGAAGAAGAAGAAGAAGAAGAAGAAGAAGAAGAAGAAGAAGAAGAAGAAGAAGAAGAAGAAGAAGAAGAAG